TCAATTCTAAGTTAGCCCATTTCTGACCTATCCTGAAAATTTAATTAATTAATTAATTGGATCCGGATCACTACCAAAATGTAATCAATTCTAAGTTAGCCCATTTCTGACCTATCCTGAAAATTTAATTAATTAATTAATGTATTAATTGGATCCGGATCACCACCAAAATCTAATCAGTTCTAAGTTAGCCCATTTCTGACCTATCCTGAAAATTTTATGACAATCCGTTCATAACTTTTTTAGTTAGGCTGTACACAAAGAACGGTGTTCCAAACCCACAAACGAACAAACACACGCCGGTGAAAACATAACCTCTTGCCATAGATATATACAACAACAACAAGATATACACAACAAATGTGTTGTATATATCTATGCTCCTGCCGACCCTTTGGCGGAGGTAATTATAATAATAAGCATATATTGCTTGTAAATTATTGACATGACCTGTCAGCGGCATCTATATATATATATATATATATATATCAGGGATTAATAATGACAAATTTGTATATCAAATTGTATATGACAAATTTGCGCGATCATGAACAAGCTCAATCGATGCTCAATCTTGCGGTGGAAATCCAGCTGCTGTCGTACCGAGCTATATAATATAATCTATGTTATATAACATATTGATAGGCCATGTATTATATATATTGACATGTTATTATACAATCATATACGACAAAATACGACTAGGCTGTTATATCGTCTATATTATGACGCTCCTGATTATATACAGCTGAGCGTGTTGACCACATGGGCAGCGCTCTGACGTCAGTGATCCCCGCTGGCTGCTGGGCGTTCAGGTTGAGAGAGCAAATCTCGGGGAGAAATATCTCAGCGAGTAAAACCAACGCTGCGGCTACTATCCCGACGATGTACGACACGAACACGCTGCTAGTCACCTTCATGCCAATCGCACGAGTGCTAGTCTCGGGGATAGACTGAGCGACGTCACCACAATTCAACTCGTAGTCGCTGTGGCCGGAATAGTTTTGGTACCAGCGTTCCAGAACACCAGCCTCTACCATGCTCCGAATCCTAGATGAACAAAGGTGTGTGCGATTAGGCTGGAACAATATTGGTGAAGTATGTCATATAAAGGAGTTGCTATCTTGTGTTACTTGTTACTTGGACTTTGACTTAGAGAGACCACTTACAAGTTACAATGTCGTCGATGATGTACTGTTGAAGAAGGCGCTCAAGTACGTATAGGTTAGGGAAGTGTGCTTGGTCTAGGAAGTGTGCTGGGTATGGGAAGTGTGTGAGTTTTGGAGGGGGAAGGGCGTATTTTTATATCCACAATTGTCGGTTGAACTGACACAATAGCTTATAATCGATCCAAATCTTAATCTCGAGCTATACATGCAAAGTTATTTAAATTACACTCACAGTGAGCGTTTTTGCAGGTGCTAAATTATGAACACCTACCAGGCGTTGAAATGCGGCAAGTAGGAGGCACGCTTTTGCACCGGCCAGGCAAACATGTGTGGTTGAAAGCGCTTGGGTAGGAGAGAGAATTCGCACGTCTTGGAACGTTCATATTCTCTCATTAGAAGCCGGTTAATCTTTGACTCCGATCGAATGTAGGCGGCGCTGCGCACGAACACGACGATCAGGTTGATATCAACTGAGATAAAGTACTAGATAACGTAACCTTGAAGTGAACGACCGTGATAAAAGTGGATATTTAAAATATTTTCAAATCTCATGCATCGCACACACTCACAAATCTGTGTAGTTCTAACTGTGGAAACGAGTATATTGCATATAAAAAACGCCAAATCACAAAATGCGCTAGTAGGTCTATCTTACGATCGAACGCCGTAACGGACGCCGTTAACAAAGATGTACGCTTCTCTCTCTCTCTGCAGTAAAAACCTACTTGGTGCGTCTCACAGCGTCGATACTTTCTGTAACTCCCCTAATGATGACGGTTTCATCATTTTTCACTCTGTCCCAGATGATCTTGTACGGACCTTCGGAGGCTTGCTGATGATGTCAAACAGGACATTGGCTGATTAACATTATAGCGTTACATCGCGCTAATGCCACGACTAACGAGATGTTTGGCTTCATTAAAACAAAACTTTCCTGCCATAAACAGCCTTTCGTTGCTTAATTACCAGGAAATTGGACAATTTTATTTGTACAGGTGCGTTCATTATAGTAATCAATGCATACACCCAAATTTAAGGTGAAATACTACCATAATGAGGCCAATGTTACTGTTTTCACGTGACACGCGAGAGAATCGCTTAAAAATCGTATAGCCAAGTTTTCACGGCCATGTATTACACGTACGGAAAAGAGTTGCTCCCAGCTTCCACCGCGCGGCACGATTAACTTGATGTCGGTTTGAGCCGCGAGCTCAGCTATCGTGTTGACGGGCAACGTAACCCCTGAAGGCACAGCCAGGCAGGCGGTCAGCAAACCCGTGTAGACACACGTCACGCACGAGATGGCCAGCCACCAGGTGGCGATGACAATCCGAGCCGGGTGCGTATTCGGGTACGAACCTCCTTCGAGCGTAAACACAAGTGATACACGCGATTATATAGTATAATGGTGACATGTTATTGTAAAAGCCCGTTGTTGTAACCAAAGATCTCTGCTGATTGGTGTAACTGTGCTATACAGTCGAAGAAGCCCCATGACTGTGTCTGTAGGCGTAACTAAAACTGGCTTGTGTAAATCGTGGTATAAATAATTGTTATGCAAGCAGCAAAACGGACCCCATGACAAGGAAGAGGCGTGTTTAAGCCAGGCACCATACCTTGAGATAGCATGCTTCCAAAGAAATACCAAAGGCACGCACAAAACCTTTTTGAATTAGCTGACGTCTTTCTACGACTGGAGTTCACGGTATCTATGCATAGATTAGCACCACTCACTGCTGAACCTGGTGTCTTATATTGTGCAATAAACCTGCAAGCACGCAAATAAGGATGTTGGAAAATTACGTCCAGCGGTGCGCGAGGTAATGTCTGGGTTAACATATTACATCAAGTACACACGCACGTATGCACGCACGCCCAAACACGTACACACAAACGCGCGCACACGTGCACACACACGTGCGCGCACACATATACATATCTAACGAATGCAGATCTATAATGATTGTTACCTATTATCAATCCAACACAAGCTCCAAGCGGCGGCTGTTGATAAAAACATCAAAGCCATTATTGCGACGAACGCTGGCCAGGTAAGCGGCCTCGAGAACAGGAACTCGGTGTTAATCGGACTGGGCCTGCGAAAACAAAATGCGTGTTGTTTTTAGACCTATATAAGAAGCTTGATGCACCGTAGCTGTAACCATTTGTTCATATTATCAAGAATCCATAATAGGAAATTTTCTATTATGGACTCTTGATGTTATCGATGTCAGTCAAGGTGCTGTTTGCTCAACCTCCCATTTAACTTACTACTGCTCAAATTCCCCTCAATTTCCCTCTCAACATTTTTTTGAATTCCGTGGTGACATTATACACATAGCTATAGGGTTTCTGATATGATGTATCTATCTATTACCTGGAGATCATAATTGCCGCTTGTGTGTAGTCAAACGGAATGGTGAAATCAATAACACGACTTTTCTCGTATTCCGTAAGGGTCGCGGATACGCCAAAATCTGCTTCCTACACGTGAAGTATAACAATCACCGATCACCTCATCACCTTCCACATGTTAAATCAAATATACACTTACGAATAACATATATCACAACTAGTAATATATTTTCATTATGAATTATATATATTTTATTATCATAATACATAGCTGTACAAAACACAAGTATGTATATTCGCTTGCATTTATTATTTATAACGAACAATTATAATTGAGCAATACGAATTCATATGCGTATATCTATACTATAAAAGGGAACAGCCCATTTTTTGTTAGCTATGTTCTCTTAATCTGCTCGCATGATTTCAAATTGCTTGACTG